AGGGTTTAGGGTTTAGGGTCGCTATCATCATTTCAAAGGGTTTCACGAGCCTCTGCCTCGAACAAATCTGCCACTACGACTTATTACTCTAACTATCTGAACTCTCCAGCCGAACATCCACGTGATCGAGGTCAATCCTATAGAGACCCTAACCCCTAAACCCTGAAACCAAAAACCCTAAACCCCTAAACCCCTAAACCCTATAACCCCTAAACTCTGAAACCCTGAAACCCTAAACCCCAAAACGGTAACCCCCATAACCCCTATAACCCCTATAACTCCCAACCTTGAAACCCCTGAAACCCTCGATCGGGAGCCCCTTGAAAGCCTTGAAACCCAAGGCGCTGAAACCCTAACAATAATAATGATAACACTAATACGCATGATAATGATAATTGGAATGCGGTTTTGGGCTCCTTTATAGTATAGTAGAATACGGAACCCTACAGAATAATATCGGTAATTTTTGAGGCTTCTACATTAAACACCTAAACCCCCTAAGCCCTAAACCCCCTAAACCCAAATCCCTAAATCCCTAAACCCCTGAACTCTAAACCCCAAACCCCCCAACCCCCTAACCACCTAAACCCCTAACCCCCTAAACCCCGAAACCCTAAACCCTAAACCCTAAACCCTAAACCCAAATTAGAGTGTCTGCGGCCAGAGTGGCAGGAGAGGCCGAACCACCTCTTGCCAGCTCACACCCCCTGCCTGACCAGCTGCACGCAGCCGTGGGCACACCAAAACTGAGTGGGGTTTAGGGGTTTAGGGGTTTAGGGTTTAGGGTTTAGGGTTTAGGGGTTTAGGGGTTTCGGGGTTTCGGGGTTTCGGGCTTAAGTTTAGGGTTTAGGGCGCACAGCAACCACGAAACCGCAGCGAAAGTCGTGACATTGACATTAACTCAACATGGAGGAAACAACAAGCACGACAAGAAGACCAACGGCAGCAGTAGCTGCCAGCTTTCATAGTTAAAAGCAGCAAGTTCGTAATTTAGACTTGCTAACTTAGAAAATTCCTCTACAAGTATAAGAAGGAACCCTAAGGAATGACATTAGTAATTGTGTAAGCCTGAAAGCCCCTATATGGGTAGTTCTCTAAATTAGGGTCCTGTTTGGAGTCCTTTTTATAAGAGTGCCGTACTATAATGGGGGCCTAAACAGGGACCCTAATCTAGAGAACTACCCTATATTACAATCATCAAACGGGCCGTCGAAAGCAAGAGACGAACCTTCATGCCTGAGTCCAAACCCGTAGCATCGAGCCGCAAAAAATCGAACTACAACGGCTTAGGGTTGAGAGGTTTAGGGTTTAGGGTTTAGGGTTTAGGGTTCAGGGCTTAGGGTTTCGGGTTTAGGGAACTTTCCTTGTGGTATGTTGTAAGAATAGTGCCGCGGGGACTAGACGGGTATGCCATCAAAACCACTGTGGTAATATAGGGGCCTGAATAATGACCAATACTATTTGGGGGGGAGGGGGCTGCTTATTATAGATATCTTAGAATGGACACCCAAACCTTATTCTAGTTATTAAGGCCCCTATATTGCGCAACATAGGGGCCTTGATTATTCTACCGGGTTTTGGGCTACATCATACTATAATTTTAACCCTCGCCTGGCTCCACCAATAAAACCCACATCTCGCTTGCTTAAATGCGGACTTTGAAGTGCAGAAACCCCGCAAAATCCCAAATCAGCCAAGGGATCCACCCAGAGAACCCAATACCCCTTTATTAAGAAATATACCTTAAATCCTAATTTTAAGGCCCCTATAATAGAAGGCATCCTTAATTAAGGTGTATTGGGTTCTCTGGGCAGGGCCCAGAGCTTTGGATCTCTTGGGCTTCGGATGGGGGTTTGACTCCATTCCCCTTAGAAGCTTGCCAGGTTTTGGGGAGAGCCGCCAAAAAAAAAACGTAAGCCAAAAACAGAACAAAAGTCATCAAGAGCCTGATAGCTTCGCGCTTATGGTCAAGGCCTTGGGGTTTAGGCTTTAGGCTTTAGGGTTTAGAGGTTGGGGGTTTGGAGGTTAGGAGTTTAGGGGTTAGGGGTTTAGGGTTTGGGGTTCGGGGGTTTAGGGTTTAGGGCTTATGGGTTTAGGGCTCAGGCATGGTTGGGGCTTTACCATGCCAAGCGGCGATGCTCATGAAGAGGCTGAGCATTGAAAACGTCAGGGAGCCGAAATGTTTCTCCAAGTCCTGAGAGGGAGGCGCAGGGAGGGAGCTTCTGACTGTGTAACACGAGTAGTTCTCTATATTAGGATCCCTTTTGGGGGGGTCCTTTTTATAAGGGTGCCGTACTGTATTTGGGACCGAAGACGGGACCCTAATTTAGAGCACTACTGGTATAGGGGCCTTGATATTTAGAATACGGACTTGGGGTATTATCTCCAAACAGCAGTGGTAACTAATTAGGCCCCGATAGTATTTGGGTTTGTTTGGGGGGTGGAGCTTTGTTTGTAGTTTTACCCGTTTCTGGTGCATATATTGCTTTCTTGGGAATCCCAATTGTTTAAGCAGGTTTCGGCTCCGATAGAGCCTGCAGGTGCATAAAGGGTGTTAGAGAGGGGTCTTGGGAGGTCTGCAGCCGTTTACCATCTAGAGTTTAGGGTTTACTGCCGGTGCCTCCTGCTGCGACGCTTCAAAGCCAAATTCATGCAGACGATCCCAAATCCAGGCGAAACGGCCTAAAAAAGGGGCCTTAATAATTGGAATAGGGTTTTGGGGCCATTTACTATAATTATCCCCAAAAATAGTATAGGCAATTATTAAGGCTCCCATATTGAACCTGAACCGTGATTTGTAAACCCTCAAGCCTAGTACGTTGCGCTCAGGTCGGAGAGCAAGATGAACCCAACAAGCCCACTTGCAACCCACTTGCAAGCTTCTTGCGAAAGCCCCTGATCGGGAAATCCCAAACTATTAGGGCACCTAAACCCTAAACCCTAAACCCTAAACCCTAAACCCTAAACCCTAAGCCCTAAGCCCTAAACCTATCCTAAACCCTAAACCAGGGCAGTATGAGACCCTCAAAATCCTACAACCGGGCCGAGCTCCAGAATTTAGGGTTTAGGGTTTAGGGTTTAGGGTTTAGGGTTTAGGGTTTAGGGTTTAGGGTTTACAGAATTCAGCATTAGGAGTTCCGGGTTGTGGAGCTTTTGGCTGCCTATCAGCCCAACTAAGACTGTCCTCATATCAATGTACCAGACACGAACTGAGACATAGATGGGATCTTCCGAAATTAGGGGTACCTTATTTGGGGGTCCTTATAATAAGGATCCTACTATTTAGGGTACTACATTAGGGTCCCCTATTTTCGGAAACCCCCACATAGATGTACATTCAGGTATGGCATAAGCAAAGAAAGAAAGTAGACATGTGAAAAGCCAACAGCCATGTTGGATTGAGAACGCGCACTACACACACATTTCCAGAACCGTAGTGCCATAGTTAACCAGGTTACACCTGGGCTACAAGGACACTTGTAAAGTTGAAGTTTAGTACCCCGAACCTCCAAGAAAGGCAAGTCGGTGGGTCCAGGGTTGCCTAAATCGTATCTAAGGGACGGAACTTACAATGCACCCTACCAATATAGTAGCATCTAAAGCCGGTAGAGTGCATACTACCACAGGAGCGGCGTAAATGATTAGAATAGGTCTTTGCGTGGGCCTCTGACCTAATACGCTAGGTTCACAGAGACAGCAATAAAGTGTCGGCTTTAGGGTTTAGGGTTTAGGGTCTAAACCCCAAACCAACTGAATCGAATTGCAGCCCTTCACGGTGCCTGTCTCTCGAGCTCAGTGAGGATCTGCTGAGATGTTTCTGCCTTACAAAGATTGGGGGTTCGTAAATTTCAGGGTGCATACAGAGCACTATATCCCTTGATTATGAAGGACTATGCCTGACATGATAAGGGGCTTCATAATCAGTATGATCTAAGATATATATAATGGGTATTGGGCTGTGGACCTGCAAGGGTCATTAGAACAAGGATCTTGCTAACTAAGGCCTATGTTCGAAGTTCCGTTTTCCTGACAGTCCAAGATGATCGGGGCCGGAGGTGCGAATCGTATAATCCTAAACCCTAAACCCGAAACCCTAAAACCTATAACCCTAAACCCTAAGCCGTACTTTAATCCTATAGCTGTAGGACTTAGGTTTCGGAACGCTTAAGGGTAATTACGGGGCTTAGAGCCCTACGCCAAGCTGCGGAATCTCGAGAGCAGGTTTGGGCTTGGTCTTTATCGGCACTGGCTTATGAACCCCCCCCTACTTTTTTAGAAGGAAATATAATAGACATCCGAGTAGTAAGGCCCTTGAAGAGACAGATTTAGGGTTTAGGGTTTAGGTTGCTTTTTTGAGCTCCTTCTTCCAACCGCCGAAACTGTTAGGCTTTAGGTTTAGGGTGAAGGGTCTGTTCACTAGTCAGAGGCTTACATTAAGTTGTTGTATGTGCTTCCGGCCCTGGCGAGGTCTGTGCGTTCGGGGCACATCTGAAACAAAAAACAAATCCCGGCTAGGGTTTAGGTGCTTGCAGAATGAGAACTGGGCTTTGGGTTTAGGGTTTAGGGCTTAGGGTCGGATAATAGTACCATCCTATGCTGGTACGCACTCTAAGCAGCAAGCAGGCTTCTGCAGGGAACACAGCCAAACCTACGAGGCCTCCGCCCGAAGCTCTCACCCTGAATATCAAAAGGACAAACCCTAAACCTTAACCCCCTTAACCCTAAACCCACGACTCCTAAACCAGTAACCCCGTAAACCCCTAACCACAAAACCCTAATCCCGTGGAGCTGGGGGGGCCTCCTTCCCTAAATCGCATGAAAAAGGGCCCTTGGTTTACAATGTTTAAGTGCTCCGGGCTTAGGGTTTGGGATTTAGGACGAAGCCCCATGTCAAAAATCCCTAAACGTCGCTGCGAAACCAGCAAGAAGTCGTTGACCTCTTGCGTGAACAGCACAGCGAACACCTGGGCCGAAGAAGAAGAAGAAGTGTTGTAGAACATGACCACGTCCACCGAACGCGTGCACTTTCAATAGCAAACGCAAGGCCTCCCGCTAATTGTTAATCAGGCACTGTCGTATACTGCTGCTACTGCTCGTACCACGACTACTACTAACTACTACTGCTACTACTGATAATAATATGAATAATACTATTGCTACTACGACGGCGACGACTACTACGACTACCACGAGCGTCACGAGCACTATGACTACTACCAGTACTACGACTGCTGCCTGACACTACTACGACGACTACTACGACTACTACGAATACTACGACTGCTACTACTACTACTACTACTACTACTACTACTACTACTTCTACTTCTACTACTACTACTACTACTACTACCACTACTACCACTACTACCACTAGTACGCTACCACTACTACCAGTACTA